TGACTCTAAGTATCACAATTCATATATGCTTTCCTGAAAGAAATCTAGAATAAGCACAGCAACTGTCTTATGATTAACTAATAACAGCAAGTAATATTGCACCAGACAAAACTGAAAAAGGCCTTTAGAGATCTAAGAGTAAGCAAAAAAGGCTAAACCATCACAGCAAAGAATGTTTTGTTCTTCCTGAAACCTTTGTAACCAGATACTTTAAAGGACTTTTAGATTGTGGAAATCACTTTCTTTTTTTTTCATTATTTTCATGTATTTAAGACACCTCAACAATAATAGTGACTCTACTGTATTAACATCCACCTTCAACAGGATAAGAATCACTAATCCAACTGCAGGACCACAAATCTCAGCTGAGAAAGGAGTCTGGCATTTCCTCTGCATGCCTGTACAAGAGAGGAAGAGGAGTTCCCAGGTTGGTTGATTTTAATTGATTGTGATGACATGATCCAGAGGTGTTTGAGTTTGGCAGGAGCATTCTCCAGCCACCAACCTTCCCTTCTCTCCATCTGGGTACCTGCCATGCCCCTCCACACTCAGTGCTGCATCCTGCTTGTCTCTGCTTACCAACTGCAGATCCCAGGATTTTGCTCCTTTATTTTTGCTCTGCAGCTCTTACCCAAAATACACGTCTGCCCTCCCAGCAAGAAAACCCTGCATCCTCTCTGTGCACTTACTCCTTGTCCATCTACTTCTTTCTCCTCTTTCCCAGCCCTTGTTCTCCCAGCTGAGGAGCCTCAGTCAACTGCAGCCTTCTGCAACAGAGTGAGAACTGCACAAGAACACAAATCTTCACTCCTCTCCAACCTGCCTCTTCATTCAACTTTTCTTCCTGGCTTTTGCATTCTCTTTTGTTGAAGCTCCGAGATCCTTGCCTGTTCAACTGCAGCTTCTTTTCAGCTTTCACTGAAATCTATTATGGTTCTTGAACATTCTTCTTAGAGGTATTTCCTTTCCTCATGACAAAAGGAGCACTGAAGACACAAGGAACGAGATACCCTGTGCCCATATCAGCGCCTTATAATTTCTGTGCTGGAAGAAACCCGGTGTAGCAAGATATCTGAAGAGCCAAACTCCATTTTTTCCCCATGCATATGCAAACAGACAGTGAGAGATTTAACTGGCAGGGTACAGTGAAGCAGAAGACACATTACCAGAACTACCCAGCTTTAAACACACCACTGCATGAACATCCTCCCGTCTCTAGTGCCAACACCAGACCAGCAGGAAAATGTGAGAACAGCATTCCTCAAAGAACAGGCTATTCTATCTTAACTCATTAGCCCATTCGCTGAAACATTAGCCCATTCATTCAAACAACTCCTCTGATGGATCTGCTCGACTATTTTAAGAACACGTGGGTAAAACATGCACTGAAAGTGTCATCCCCAAAGGGCAGAGTTAGACGAGGTTTTAAGCACCTTAAGGCCGGATGGTAAAATACGTACTACAAGAGGGGTTCTGATAACGTTACCAACTCCATTAGCGTTTATAAACCTCCTCTTCGGCCAGAAAAGCAGGGCTGCACTTGTAAATTGACAGCGTAGAAAACTACCATAACTACCGCCCCATAGATGCAAAAGTTATCTCTGACTGGATGCCTATCCCGTGAAACCACTGACAGCCAAATGCCCGCTCCCGCGAGGAGGCTGGAGCAGCACCGGGCTCCTTTCTCATGGGACAATCCAGTCGCGGGGCCGCGGTGTCAGGACTCCTGCAGCAGCTGCAGCCGAGCCTTGCCCCACCGACGGGGTCTCTCCGCACGACCCGGGGCCCGGCTGTGCCCGAGGGCTTGGAAGAGCTCGTAGGCGCCCTGGGCGGCGCTCGGCTCCCGCGGGGCCCCGCCCCTCGGCCCATCCGTGCCCCCCGGGCCGCTCAGCCGTGGCCTCGGCCCCGCCCCGGCGGCTCTTACTGTCCAGGTAGTGCTCCAGGTACATCCCTGCCGCCATCTTGAGCCCCACACACCGGCGCTTCCGGCGGGAAGCAGAGGCGCGCGCCCCCCGGAAGCGGCTCTGCCCGGTTTGCGAAGCCGCTTCCGCCCGCCTACCCCGGCACTTCCGCCCCGCTCCCGCCGCCATTTCGGGCTCTGCGGGGCTGCCCCGGGCGGTCCCCCCGGAGGGCAGCGAGAGCAACCAGGGCACTGGGGCATCACTCCTGCAGGGAAAGGCTGAGCGAGCTGGGCCTCTTCAGCCCGAGAGGCTCAGACGACTGAGAGGGGACCCCATCCATGTCTATAAGTAACTGAAAGGAGAATGTGAGACTCTTCTCGGTGGTGCCAAGCACTAGGACAGAAACTGATGCACAGGACGTTCCACCTTAACATGGGGAAGAACTTCCTTACTGTGCGGGTGACTGAGCACTGGAGCAGATGCCCAGAGAGGTTATGGAGTCTCCCTCACTGGAGATATTCCAGAACCACCTGTATATACAGTCCTGCCAGGTGCTCTGGGAGGACTCTGCTTGAGCAGGGAGGCTGGAGCAGTGACCCACCGTGGTCCCTTCCAACCTGGCCCATTCTGTGATCTGGGCCAGGAAGTGCTGTTGACTTGTTACTATGGTTTCCCATTTACTTCGTAATCCACCAGTGCCGAGAAGCTGCTGCTGTGTCATAAAAGGAGAAGGATGGTCTCTGCTGCAACAGGACTGGTACAAACTAATAGACTAACAAAGGGAATTAAGTTAAACATGTGACCGTGCTTTCTTTTTCTTCATCATGCCAGAACCCCTTTTGTGACCATACACCACGAGCCACTTGAAGGTTTAGAGCCCCTCGTGCTGCGGAACTGAGGAGCCCTTTCCCAGCCGTCCTTCGCTATGTGCACGGTGTGGTGGGAAGTCACATGCGATTATGCAGGAACTGAAACAAAATTATCTTACTTTTGTTGATCCTTAGGTTCCAAGACATGCAGGATTGTTTTTTCAAGAGGTCAGCGTTCATTTAGCATGCTATACAGTTTAGGAGGCACTGGGTTTGGTAAATACATTTCATCCACCTTTCTCCTGCCTACTCACCTACACCATCCTGTTTTTTCTGTTTAGTCTGTATGACAGCCATTGCTTAGGACTGAATGCTCCCAGATTCTGGCCACAAGAAGTGATTAGATTTCTTTTTTTCTCTTTCCCTCCCAAAGATCTTCAAAGACACCATGCCTTTATTTATATGGTTATACTAGGATTAAGTCTTCAAGCAGTCTGCACTGCAAGACTGAGGAGCTGTTATATAAAGGAACTGCAGCTGTTTGAACTATGAACCATCTTGTTGTTAAACTACTTGGTTAATTCAGAGATCCTCTGTGATGATGGAGTTTTCCATTCCTCTTCCTACAGTCATTTAAGTTATTTATGACATATTTTTAATTATTCAAAACACATTTCTTAGTCTTTTCAGTTCCCATGTGGAGCAGCTGGCTTCAGTTAGCTGAACATTATTGTTAAGCCTCTTTAAAGTATTTCAAAATTCTTGTATAAATTGCCTTACACGCTTAATTAAGGAGAAGGATGTGGCTGTTACATAAAAAAAAAAGAAAAAAAAAATCTGGTCCCCATACCATGTCACAGTCCTAAACCAGAATCTCCCAAACATATCCTGCTTGGGGCTACCAAGCTGAATGGAGCTGATGTTAAAAATTAGACATTCTTAGACATCACTGATTTGTTTAAGAGACCACCTGGGAACCCCATCTTATCCTTCAAGCCAAGGATGTCAGAATTCTAGACCACTGAAATGGAGAGATCATCTCCCTCCGGACTTCTTGCCACTGCAGATACAAATGATAGGGCAAAGAAGAGGCAGTTGCCTAAAATCTAAATGGCAAGTCTCAGTAAAGTGTACAAATGTCTCTAACTGCATGAACTGCCAGTGTGAATTTGCAAAATAAAGGGGAGAGGCAGTTTTGTGTGCCTGTGTGGTCTCACAGCAGTAGAAGCTCTACCATTCCAGCAAAAACTAGTTCCTGAGCTCTGAGTCTGGGAAAGATTGTTATTTTTGCTTTCTTTACAAAGTCAGAGAAAGGGTTTGCATCGCTCAGGGCTCCAGAAGCATCCTCACCCACAGAGGAAGTGTCACCACGGTAGTTTTTTGTTGAGAGGTGGAGTATTTTTTAAACATTTCTGCCCATTGAAGTCCAAGCACGGGCACAGATGATTGTGCAGGAAAGTGCTTTTCCAGTTGAAATCAGCTCTAGAGAGCTAGGACTATTTATGTCTAACCCTCACCCAGCCTCATACGCTGATCCTTTGGCAAGTGCTGTAGTAACAAAGCCTCACACCCCACTAACCCGTGTGGTTATCACGCTTCTCCTGCTCACCCCAGTGTGCTGCTACAGCTCCATCCTGCAGTTAATCCTGTAGGCAGCTCCTGGTTCGACAGAGGACCTGCAGGATGAGCGGTGCTGCCCAGGCATCGGCACCTCCCACAGGGAAGCTGCACGGCCTACGGAAGCAGTCTGCAGGAGTGGTTCTCAACCTTTATTGATCTACAGATGCCTGTGTGTTTTTCCCTTGGAAATGTAAACATCTGCATACCAAATGCATGCCTCCAGATTTTAGTTACCTTATAGAATTCTTAAATGTTGTCCAAGGAGGAGGTGAACGCCAGTGCTTGAGAAGGATCCTCATGCAGAACCCAGCAGGACAGCTATAACTTGTTCAGTTACCTTTTTACTGTTGAGGTACGTTCAGCTCTTCCCACTCTTTAACATTCTCAGTTCGGAGGTTCCTGAAATTTCCATTTCCTGTCTTCAGGAAACATGAGAGGTACCCACACTTTGTTCTCACGAACGACAAATGGTTGATCTGCAGCACTTGGCCCCAAGGGGGTAAATTAGCTTTACAAATTAAAGAGGATGCCAAAGGCCAAAAAGTATAGCTGTGTCCATGTGTCAAAAACGTACCCTCCTTCAGTAGCAAAACTAGGCGTAGACTCTAGTTCTTTGGTGTCAAGATTTCTTTTCTTGCAGTTTTTTTCCATTCATTACACAGACACTACATGAAATCGAAATGTTTGTTGGACCAAGTTACTACATCTCTCTAGTACTTTGGTGTTCTACTATACAGAAACAAGAAACCATGCACACAAATTTAATCTGTTGTACCTGAAAGGACGATTAAACAGGTACCTATCTTGCAGTTAAGGAAGTGTACAGAGCAATTTCATTCTATGTTCTGAAACTGCACTAGTAAACTTGGGCAGCTTTCAGGTACATTACCTGCAAAATATTAGAAGAAAATCCTAAACATGATATATATCCTTTAGTTGATATAAAGATGATAAAATAATCAATAAAAATATAGAAGACAGACAGAATCTCATAATTATATTCTATATTGGGAAGTTGGATGATGTAGACACATCCGTGAGGTAATGAAATATTACCTATTGCCAATGAGATTTAGGAAGATGTTTAGTTCTACCCATTAAATAAAACATCCTAGAAGTTGCATAGCTAGAAACTGACAATCAGTAATTTGAAAAGAATTATCTGGCAAGCAGATGGAAGCAGTGGGCTTTCTTTTCCAAACAACTTTGAAGTTCTGAATGTGTTCCAGAAGACCAACAAATACTTTTACTTAAAGTACTTGCAAAGCAAGTGGGCTCATCCAGTTGCTGTAAGGCTGTTAACCTAACACTGATGTGGCAAAATCACAGTGGCATGGACAGGGGTTGCACTCAGCTAAGGAAAGAAACATATTGCTGTTTGTTTTAATTTGAAGAAAATGACCTAATTAAAAGAACTGGATATCCTTGTATGGCAGTCTCAATTTGGTGGCTCAAAATAGGCATCTAGGCCCAATGCAGCAAGATTTTAACTGAACACTACACAGCCGGCTCACTGAAAGGGAAAAGAAAGGCAACAGATAAGAACTACATGATGGATCCAAGCCTTATTGTGAGACACCTAAACCAGCTCAATTTAATTCAGCTGTTTGGAAAGATGAATACAGTGACTTGATCACGGTCTGTAACTCATTATGCAAGAAGAAAGACTTCTTATAGCAGAAGACTTTAATGTACTCAAAGAAATAGCAAGACCTTATGGATTAAAAAAAAGTAGTAATATAGACTGGCAGTTTCAATGGCAGTGATAACTAACAAAATAACTGTAATAAGGGACATGGTTGATTAACCATAAGACTTTAAATTATAGAAGTCTTAAATCTTTCTTGAAGATTTAACTGAATTATAGACCAGCAATACTATCATTAGTCATGGCTGAGATTCCATTACTGTTTGTGGGTGACTTTTCTAAATAATTTCCAGCCTACATATTTCCTTTTAAAGCAACGATGATTTGTAAAATCCAACTAAGAACAGAAAATCAGCTTGGAAAAGGACAAGAAGAAAAAGTGCTATTGTCTTTCAGCAAAGATACAAGATGCAACCTAATACAGAACTCCAGAGTCATTGTCAAGTCTTCTTGGGTACCAACATATAGAATGGATGTGCATCACAATGAAAATGCAGGGTCAAAGAATTCATGGAGCTGAAGAAGAAGGACCATGGAATCTTGTTAAGGAATATTCCAATCTTGTGTGTGGTAGGTAAATAATTGAACTGTTGTTGGCTTGAGTGCACAAAGCTGCAGACAGCAGAACCTCAGATTTCATCTGAGGAGGGAAGAATTTTGTACAAGTTGTTAACATTTTGAGTCTTGCAGGAAGCTACTTTTACTGTTTAAACCATCTGGAACACTTTGATTATGTTAAACAACCTTGGGAATCCAAAGAGAAAGACCTAATCCAAACACAAATAAGTGACAAAGATAATGAGGGTAAGCTATCTTCAATTATTTCCACATCAGCAACAGGACTGGGTAAACAGAGAAATTCTCACTGACAAGGAAGAAAAGGAGGTCTGGAATAGAGTGGCATTTCTGAAGCTCAATGGTAAAGTCCCTTAGTAAGAAATAATTAATTTCTTCCTGGGCAACAGTAAAAGCTATAGGCTCAGCAGCAAACTGCACGAACACGAACTGTAACACCTTTGAAATGACTGGTAACAGGAATTGTACAGCCTTAAATACACATGGATGCCCATGCTAGGTAGCAGATTCCAACAAGGGAAAGGGTAGCAGACATCACAAAACAAACCAGGGACCAGGAATGGCGATTTCAAGCACCTAAAACGAAAAATCATTGCAAAAGAATTTTAATTTGTGAGCCATTCCCCAGGGAATTCAACCAGTCAGCAAAGTATTATTCTGACTTTTAAAGCCTTCCCAGCTTAATTCAAGACACTGCACCCAAACCAAATCATTTTTCAGTCTTCAAGATGATATATTCAAGATGAAAGAACTAGTTGAGTGAAGCTGGCCATTTTGTCCTGTCCATAAAGAACACGGACATGCAGAGGAGAGCCACAGGTAGTAATCAACCTGTGCTGAGTCTGGTAACTTCCAAGAGGAGCAAAACTATAAACCGAGTTGTTCATGGGAAAAACAGAAAGAAGGCAGAGGAATATGAATTAAACTCTCCTGTAAGGAGAAACGTAACAGATGGAAAAGATGAAGGCCAGACAGCAACCAACATAAATGACACACTATAAAAATAGAGAAAATTCTTAAGAAAAGCTTTGTGACTAGCAGAACTAAATGGAAAGAATATTTTGCTCTTTAATTCCTTTCCATCACAAAATAAACAAAGAAACTTTACTAAAGTACTGATCCATGCTAGATAAAAATAGTGAAAATGCTAGGGACACAGAACAGGAGAAACCAGTCAACAAACACTTCCAATTCCATCTAAAGAAAGGAACAGAATGCAGCAGTCATATGAAAATAGCAACTTCTATCTAAGTACCATAGTGTCAAAGAAGGAGATGAGACAACACCTTCTAGGGATGTATATTTTGAAATCAGCAAAGAAACGAGTCCTGAAAGAGTTCAGTAACCAGCTCTCTAGCCCAGTGATTCTGATCTTAATTAAACATGGGATATTAGAGAAATACCTTAAGACACTCATGACAGTGTTCCCAAGAGGCAAATGAAACAACTCAGTAACAAAATTATGGAAAAACTATAGAGATGAAGAATTAATCAACGAAAAAATAAAACCTATATCATAAAGGTTTTATGAAATACAGATTCTGTAGTAAAAAAAAAAAAAAAAAAAAAAAAAAAAAAAAAAATCCCAAACCCTAATTTCATTCTTAGATGACAGCATTATACATTTGGTTTACAAAGGGGACTGCATAGGTGCAACAACATACTTAAATTTTTATAAGGCATTGACCTAGCACCGTAAGTCAGAAAGATAAACTGTACATAATCAATTGCTAAGAGGATTAAGAAATGCCCAGCATGCAAGTCTCAAAAAGAAGCTAATGAGAAGTTGCACTCAATGATGCTTTTCATGTTAGCATAGGTCAGATGCAATATTTCATTTCAACCTGGATCTGAAAGTAAAAATAACAAACTGATACAGTTTGTGGGTGACAGAACTATGAAAGCTGTGAGTAACCTGGTCCATCAGTCAGCCAGGTCCATTCACACAGGCTGGACTTGGACACAGTCCCATGTGAAGCATCCAGGAAACAGGAACCCAGAGCATACCTGTACAGAAGGGAAAACACTATTGTGGAAAGCCAAGACTTTGGATGACCAGACACGCAGCCACTGTGAGCTCCTGGATAATGCTATAAGAAGAGGGAAAATGCAATCCTCTGCAGACTTAAGGCTAAGGGCCTGGGGGACCTCATCCATGGCACTGAGGCTTCAACACTCAATTCCAAAAGGAACGTGTTTGTAAGATACTGTAAAATTTAGTAAGATGTAGAAAGAAAAGAATAATTCATGGGATGGAAGAAATCCCTTACACTGGAAGATTTACAGAGTTCTATCAGGTTTACCTTGTAAAAAAGTAGATTGAGAAGGAACATTAGAGTGTTTAAATAAAAGTCTAGGCAGAAAAAGTCCCATTCAGGCTCTCTCAATCAGAGGGATGAATGTTTCCAGAACTAGTAACCAGAAACCAAAGCAAGGAGGAATCTGGCTAAAATATTTAAACAGTGAAAACCTGAAGCCCTTGCAGCAGGCTGCCAATGGATTTTGTGTCCCACTGCCTCAAAATCAAGCCAATGCATTTTGTCAACACAGTTCAAATATACATTAGTTCTTGGGGCTCAATACAGCCTAAATGGACTAAAATGTCACCTGTGAAATGCAGGAGTCAAACCAGACAGCTCCTTCTAGCCTAATCAAACACTCCACCCGTTTGCAGCCAACTCTGGTGACTAAACGCAGAGAAAAAGGTTTCTGCCACAGGCTCCCCAGGTGCAGAGCTCCTCGCTTTCCTTGTGCAAACCACAAGGTGCCAAAGGCAGGGATGTGCCGCCCTCGCGTCTGCCCCTCGGGACTCAGGGCAGCCAGAGGAGCCTGCAGGTGTCGGGTGCAGGGGGAAGGAACACACGTCACAGGGGCAGGGTGCTCGCACCAGCACCTTCAAGGAGCCTTTTACACCAATTTATTTCTATACAGGGTGGTTAAAAAAAAATATAATAGAAGCCCCTATTGGTTGTTCATACAGAAGTCTGGGATTCTATAGGCTTTGGGTGGGTGACTGATTTTAAAACCCAACAACACATGCTTTTTCCCTTGCCTTCTCATTCTCTTCCAAGTCAGCCTCCATGATCCAAAGAAACTAACAAGTAACACGCAAGACTAGCAGTCAAGTGGACCAATTAAAAAAAACCAAAAAACAAAAAACAAGAGGAAGGAGAATTGAAGACGAAGAGAAAGGGAAAAACAAACGAAGATTGAAAATAAAAATTCGCCAGGATAATGCGTTTTATAAACACAGAGATAGAAACAGTTACAGCAAGGACAGAGCGGGCCAGGGCTGGGGAATAGATATTTATATATATATATATATATATAAATTCAAGGGGCCTTCAGTTTATTCTTGTTGGCTCCCCCTTCTCATTAGATTGGTCTCTCTGTGGGGATCTTCATCCCCTTCTCTCCACTGTCCACCTTTTGGGGATTCTCTCCCATGACCAGGGTCCAGAAGAGGCCACCACTGCCATGTGAGTCCAGCCCGTCTTGGCAAGAGGGAGCCTGTGAGAGCACTCTGGCAGGAGATAAACAGGAGAAGCTAGCCTTTTCCTGCCTCCTGCCAGCTCCTTGAAAAGACTGGTCTAGTCCTCCTCCTCCTCCTCCTCTTTCCCATTGGGAAACTGGGGGCAGGACAGGTATGTGAGTGTCAGAACTGCTGTCATTCCACCTTTCAGGAAAGGGAGTAGAGAGAAGGGTGATGATTATTTTGGCAGTCTCTTACCCTCCCTCCAGTTGCTTTTTGGTTTGTTGTTGATGGCTGTAGCCTTTTCTGAGGAGGTGGGGGGAAAAGCAGAAGGGAGAGGAGGAGGAGTACAAGCTGCTAGGATATCATCCACAACAGGCAGGAAGAGCAATGAGCAGGAACCCACATTCCTACGGGGCCATCGTGCTGCTCAGACAGCTGGGAGAGAGAGGCAGCAGTCAGTTCAGACAGACTCCTCTCTATTGCTCTCTACCAGGGGAGGAGAAAGAATGCAATACTCCACAGCCCTTAGGCAGTATAGGCACCTGTCCATCCCAGAGAACATGCCTCACTTCTCCTCCCTCCACTGGTCTCACCTTCCACTGGGGAGAAGGTTTCTCCCATCCAGTCCTTGGGGCAGGACAAGTGACCCCTCCTCCCTTTCACAAGGAGGGACAGGAATGGATATTTCTCTCTTAGACACTCAAGGCCAATCCTCAAAGAACCCCATCCAGCTGTCAACCTTGCCACATTCTTCTGTGGCCTGCTAAAAACACATGTCCAAGCCCCTGTATATACAAGGGTCGTCTCTCCATCCCATCCACCATGCGTGTCTCAACACGCAACCCCACTTCATACACATCCTACAGTGAGAGAGAAGGCAAAAACAGGGGCCTTTCTTTGGGTTTCAAAGGAGGGGCTCTTGCATGAGGAAGTGATCCCAGCACAGGAAAGGGGCTCTTGCACAAGGAAGCATCCTCCTACCAGGCAGGCTGTTGCACAGAAGGAGCACCCCCTTGAGACAGGCTGTTGTTCAAGGGGCTGCCATGAACAGGGTTACACGGCCAGAAGAGGCTGTTGCAGGAGGAGAGGCCGGAAACTTGCACGAGGAGGGCCGCTGCACAAGCGGTGCCCCTGGCACAGGCTATGCACAAGAGGCGTTCTGCTCCCTGGGTTGAGGTCTCTCTAGGAGCTGGAGAGGTGCTCCACTTGGATGGCGCTGGTGCTGACAGTGAGGCAGATGTCCTTGTGATGCTCTGAAGTCTTGTAAGGAGTCAGGTCAAAGGAGCACTGGGGGGGAGGGTTGGGTTGGTTAGTGTCTCCAGAAGGGCCCCCTGCTGCCCCCCCACCCTGTGGCTGGAAGTGCTGCTGCTGCTGCGAGGCCTGGGCTTGTGCCTGAACCACCTGCTGCTGTGGGTCAGGGATGTTGTGTTTCCGCATGTGCTTCATCAGGTACGTCTCCTGCAACGGGAAGAACCACGTGAGAGGAGGGAACAACGCTCACAAGAGCCAAAGCCAGCAGGGAGGGAAACGGCAAGTCAGGGGACTGCTCCCATTGGATCTGGAGGAGCTGCTCCCTGGGAAGTTTGACCACTCTTGCTACCCCCCAGGGCAGCAAATACTCACCGAGGTGTAGGCCCGGCTGCAGATGGAGCAGGTGTAGACCTTGGCGTGTTTCACCGTGTGTGTAGCCAGGTGTACCTCCAACGAGGCAGCATCTGTGTACGCACGGTGGCAGTTGTGGCACTTGAAAGGTTTGTCTTTGTTGTGCTGCCGTCTGTGGGACTGGGGGGCGGCAGCAGCGGGGAGGAAAGAGAAAGCAAGCATGAGAAAGGAAGCAAGTATTAGTACTGGAGACAGCTTTACCTCAAACACCCCCTTCCAGCCAGGCTCCAAGCTCCTGGCTGCTGAGGAAGGTACACCCGGCTCCCAGCATGGGGACTTCTCCCTCCAGCCCACCACACCTTCCCCACACATGCCCTTTCCTCTCATGCATACTAGGCGTTTGAAGAGCAGAGACTCTTAAAGCCCCAAAACCCCCCATCATCTCAGTTTCCATAAACTCTCAGTCTTTTCCTGGTCTCTCCTTTGCTGTCCCCCTATACATCTGCTCCCTGCATCTAATACCTTCAGGGCAGGATTTGCTTTAACTGCTTGCAGGTGTTTACAGCTCTTTGCTCTCTGACACACTCTACAGTCCCCCTCCTCCAGGGTACTGCAACAGGACACACCACCTCTGCTTCCCTATAACCCTACCCTTACGCCCTCCATTTTATTGTAAAACAAACAAAAAACCCACCCAGATACCCAGACTTTATTGGGTGTAACATTTTGCAAAAGTCTTGCCCCAGCTAAGTTACAAAACTGCAAAACAGATGGGAGGAACTTCACTAAGGTCTCAGTGCTTTCAAGTCAACAATTTTACAGGATGCGACCATTTATGCAACTTCTTTGGGCCACTAGTCCCACAAGTCAGGAATCTCTTTCCTGCCCAGGGCTTCAGGATCTTTCTGTATTCTTTCACTCTCCTCCCAGCTGCCCCACTTCTTCTACCACAGGAACCCTTGCCAAACCCTGCTGCTGAGAAGGACACACCCAGCCCCTTACCTGCAAGTTGGAAAGCTGGGTGAAAGCCTTTTCACACCCAGGGTGAGCACATTTGTAGGGTCGGTCCCCGGTGTGGATACTGTTGAGGAGGAAGAGCACAAATGGGAGGCAGTGAGCAGGCAGACAAGTCAGACTGCCAGGGCCTGCTGCTGTGTGAGGGGGATGATGTTGCCTCCAGATGCTGTTCTAGCTGGACAAAGAGAGCTCTGCCCAGCTCCCATGTCCAGTTAGAAGTTGGAGAAGACAGGCAGTCAAGCAGATTTCAGAGTGACTAGAACTGAGGAGCAAGAACTTTTGAATGTCTGGACAGCTCAGCATTTGAGCTACCTAAAAATATGTCCAGGCTCCCTGCTCCAAGCTCAGGAGTCCCAAATGACCAAGAGGAATCTGTTCTCTTGCTTCCACAGTACCAAGAAAGCAGCTCTGTTCCCTCCAAGATAAACACACCAACACTTTCCTTTTAAGTAACAGGCTGAGTTTACCTACAGTGTTGATCTGTCCCTGTCCCCCTGCAATGCCAGGAGCAGCTTCCACACACTCAGTCCAACCCCCGTGGTGCCAGGCTGGGATCCCTTACAGCCAATGCCTCTTTCTCTATCGCTCTCTCTCTGTGCCGCCCGCGGTGCAAGACCAAGGATCCCCAGGGACAGCACGTGCCCACCTCAGCCCTGACGTGGTCAGTGTCTCCTGCGCAGCCTCCACTCCGTCCACTCAGGTGGGTCACCTCCTTCTGGGGGTGCAGCCGGCCGCATTCCCCGCCCGCCCCCCGCATGCTTGGCGCGCGTGCTCCAGAGGTGCATGCCGGCAGCGCGGGGGGACCAGGGCCAGGCCCCCAGCCTCCTCTGGCCCTTACCGTGTGTGCTGCTGCAGGTGGGAGAGCTGGCGGAAGGCCTTCTGGCAGTAGCGGCAGGTGTAGGGCTTGGCCCCCGAGTGGATGCGGAGGTGCTGGGCCAGGTAGGATGTGTTGGCGAAGCTCTTGGAGCAGTGAGGACACTTGTGTGGCTTGACAATCGCCGTGTGGAGCTTGGAGTGGATCCTGCCGAAGAGGAGGAGGAGCAGCAGCAGTTGGACATGACCGCCATCTGGCTAGTGCTGATGGAATGAGGGCACAAAGGGGGTGGGACAGCACCACGCTATCTGCTACATGAAGGAACTCCAAACACAGCATGAGCTCTCTTGGTCTCAAACTGTGCTCCCCTTGGGTTCAAGAGACCATGGTCTGTCCGCACCGGGGGAGGATCCAGAGAGAGGAACTATAGAGCTTAGACTGAGGGGCATTGGCAGAGCTGTGTGGGAAGCCTATGGCTGAAATAGCAGGGGGGCTGCAAGCCTGGACTTGAGATGTTTGGCAGAACTATGCTGGGGTGACAGGGAACAGTCTTCCTACGCCCACTCTACTCTCACACTGACACAACCAGCCCTACCTCCTGTCAGAAAGCATCACTCTGCTGCCGACGCCCCTCCGGCGAAGCAGCGCTAACCTGAGCGCACCCAGCCCCTCAGCCAGGGACCAGTCTCATGTGTCCGATACCGCTACTGCCGGTCTGACGCGTGTACGACCTGACCTGTGACAACCAGCCAGGTCTCCCCATGCAGTCGCCCGCTGAGGTGCTCACAGCATGCTGGGATGACAGCAACATGCAGTGCGGAGGGCCCCAGCCTCCTCTGGCCCTTACCGTGTGTGCTGCTGCAGGTGGGAGAGCTGGCGGAAGGCCTTCTGGCAGTAGCTGCACGTGTAGGGCTTGGCCCCTGAGTGGATACGAATGTGCTGGGCCAGGTAGGAGCTGTTGGCGAAGCTCTTGGAGCAGTGAGGACACTTGTGTGGCTTTGTCTCCGTATGGGACTTGGAGTGGATCTGCATCTCCGACTTGGAGTAGAAGGTCAGCGAACACATCCGGCACCTGGGACCGGGGCGAGGGGAAGAGACAGTGTCACATGGGGGTGAGCCCCAGTATGGATCAACTTTAACTGGATGGGATCTTCCACACTGAGTGAAGAAGGGGCATTTTCCCACTATGTGATACTGGGAGGTTTCACCTGGGACACTGCTTGGCTGCGAGTGCTTCAGTCCCAGGGGGACAAATTTAAGCTGGGAACTGGTGTAACAGACCAAACAATACTTCACAGCCAGACAAGTAAAGGCGTTGGAAAAAACCAACTTGCTTGCAAGAGAGACAGGGCAGCACTTGGGAAATTTTCCAACAGCAATCCTAAGGGGATAGGGATAATTCCCAGACAAAACCCCCACTCTGTTAATCTATTACTTAATTCAGTCAAAAAAACCTGGAAAACCTGGAAATCCCAGGTTATAGTTAATATTAGAAGTTAATTCCATGTACTGTGAAGTCTGTGAGAGCAGAAATAGCTAAATCCACTTAACTCTGCTCCCATTTTTGGAGAAGACACTCAAATTTTTAGGGTATAAAATGCTGAGAATAACAGCAGTGCTGCTTTCCTAGTGGGTCTCACAAAGACACTCTGGATATCAAATGTGGTATTTCATTGGTCTAGTGGGTTTTCATCATTTCAGTCTTACTGATGTGATGCAAAATGTTTTGTCTGGGTGTTTGGATCCATCTGTTCCCAAAATGATCACAAATGCATTTGTTAACACACAGACTCTCTGAACAAGAAGAAGCAGTTGGCATCACTCTGCTACGGATGCTGCTGTTAAAAACTCTTCCTCCACCATGACACCAGGCTGTTAGAGAAGCTCGTACTGTTTTACAATTCAAGATGGTAAAAGCTTTTGTGGTTGGTAATTTGACAGAGACAGAAGCTGCATCCAAATTACTCATTTCTTCCCCACCTCCCCATGTGTGTCAAACAAGTGGCAGAGTTAAGGCTTATCTGAATTTAGGTTTTTCATTTACATTAAAGACAAAATAGAATCTCCATATGTAACTTCCAGGGTCACATTTGAGAGAAGAAATGCCATCCAGAGGAAGTCTGGTCAACATGAATTCAACTTTCAAAGTGGTTTTGTCTGGGAATTTCCTTGAGTTTTATAGTGTTTACAAAACTGCTCAGCAACAAAAGTCTCTTGCAGGTATTACAAGCCACAGAGAGCTCATCCTGCTCTTCCCCACATCCCTCTCCTCTCAGGAGGATACTTTATTACATCTACTGTTGCGACTCTGTTGGAGCCAAAAGCTTTATGATGTGTGCAATCTGATTAGCGTGTCATGTAAGCAGTATTTATCCAGCACCTACCTTAACTTCCACAGGCCCTTCCGAGCCACAGCTTGATTCCAAGCCATTTAGCTGGAAGCCATGCCTCCCTAGCAAGCACTCTAACACACACCTGTCATAACATTTCCTTCCTCTCCACCTTTGCTCTTTTACATTCATTATCATCTCTAACAGTTGTTCCCACGTGTCCTACCTTCATCTTTCTCTTAATCCATTTTAATTGCAAGCCCTAACAGAACATGCAAACTAAGTACATCCTTACATAAATCCCTCCTCACACACACACACACCCCCCAATCCCTCCTGGAATCAAGAAAGAGAAGCAATTTGGCTGTTTATCCCTACATCAACTAAAGATATAATGAGTAAAAAGGAACATCAGCATCATAGTTTTGAAAAAAAAAGTAGCTCTTGGTTTATAGACCAAACTATCTCCAGTTGCACAATTTGTTCCAGACTTTCTGAAACGCTAGACTTGAACAGAGCAATGTATTTTGCAGTCATACTTACAGGATGAGGACTGTGTATCCTTGAAAGCACCAATGTTTGAAATAACTTTGAGGTGAACACTGAATTGAAAAATACCTTTGAGTCACCAAGTCCAGTTCCCTGCTAATGCAAGCAATTACAGCATAATCCCATGCTTGACTTTTAGCAAGCCCCTTCTCAGCAGATGCTGACTTCCATTACTCTCAGTTGAACACTGTTCCACAGCATTGGCCCTCTGATAAGGAACCATTCAATTGACAACAAGCTCCCAGTGTGATGCTGTGCTAATATGGCTCACCAAAAACGAAGGGGAATAGCAGGTATCCTTTTTGTATACAGGAGGGGAGTGACTGTTCTTGCCAACAGCCTGTCTAATTCTGAAGTCCATGTCCTCAACCATTACTGAAAAACTCACACAGGCTCAACAAACTTAAACAATGATGGCATGTGGAAAATTGGATTTGCAGGAAAGATTCACTGACTCCAGTCAATCTAGGTTTGGAGTAAAATTTAAAAGATAACTTGTTCAATATCCAAATAAATCTATGTAGGGAGAAAAATATCAATTATTACGGGCTTATTTTATGAACAAGCAAGATATAATGAGGAACAACAACTGACACCAGAAGTCAAAAAAATGGCCTTTTCCAACCGTGAGAATAATGCATCTTTGGAACAAGGCCGAGGCTATGACATGGTCTCTCTGTCACTTGGCCCCTACAATCAGTGTTCTGAGAATCCAGGCACCTTTCTGAGAGAAATACCCTTCCTAAGGGTTTTACAGAGAATGCGGGGCACTAATCTCTTCTGTGCTGTACACAGGACTCTATATTTTAAATAGTCTATTCTGTTCTGAAAAATTAATGAACTTTACCATGCCATCAAATCTAAGTAGTCCCATGCATTAAATCTATAGTGCCATAAAGCCATCAACTTTATCTTCCAGAAAGGGTCTGTGCACCCTTTCCTTTACTTATTTGCTTTGCCAGGTATCTGCCTTCAGATCAGAAATTCTCTTAAATAAACTTTAATGAAGAGAAACAGACTGTATGTCCTTTTCTATTTTCAAAATAAAACTATAAAGAAGTTATTTCAAAACCTCACTGGCACTTGCATGACAATGATAAACCTGATTATTAGCAAAACCAGGCCTCAACAATAATAAAACCCCCCAAAACCCTAACCTCCCCAAAAACCCCAAAACAAAACTCTAAAACAAACAAACCAACCAACTCCTGTTGTCTGAATTTAGCAGCTATAGACATTCTGATACTATTTTTCAAACATCATTTAGAATGAAAATCTTGCAAGAACTCATTTTCTAATCATCTAATTAGCATCAACCCTGAGAGAGCAAGAATGTTATGCAGCATTAACAAATTCACAAGCCTTATGAGTTAAAAAAAGCCCTGGAATATAACAGAAAGCTGCATTTCAGAATTTTATATTGTGTGGTATCAGGCTTTTTCAAGGGAACAAATGATCCATTTAATTAAGGGCTTCTCATTCTGCCTCAGACAACATCAAATATTAAAGGGGAAGATGCAATCAGCCCTCTAGTGGGCAAATATGGATTCAAAAAAATGTTAAATTTATGTGGATAATGAGAATATCCCATCTGACACTAGCAGCATTTAAGTATTCTACTTCAGTGAAATTCTGGCTGGGGAGAGGAAAAATAAGGAATGCTCCTTGCTAAGCATGAATGAAACACTATATGAAATAATTGATTTCTACCCCCCCTCTGTTTAATATCCATTTTTAATAGTCTCCCCACTGTGCTTCTAAACTACCCCTCCTTTGGCTGCATTCTTTCTGACAGCAAGAAACAGAAATGACTGCAGCATTCCCATTGATGGTGTGACACAACATCCCCTGCAGCTGCTTGTTATGGCTCTGCAAATTCAGACAGCCTTGGAGAAAATATCCTTAATAACACAGAGGTTCATATCAACAGTTAAATTAGCACTCAGCCATATGCCAGAGATCAAAAGTAACCCCTTCCAATGTTTACAATGCTTTCTTTTTTTATAGGAAATAAAGACGTTCAGAAAATGTTCATGTTAGACAGAGACAGTCTCAAAAATCATGAAATGCCAGTAAAAGGTGGATGTACAATTCTAATTCTGCTCCCATATGAAAGTCATCACAATGAGTCATAAACGAAATGATGCTTATAGCAACTAGACTACAACTCTGTGGCACACAGTACTGTATTTTTTTCCACTTTTCATGGAATGTTCTGCCTCATTCATCAGATGCTGTTAGGAGATAAAAATCATCTGAAATACCAGCGCGTAGTAAAATTTGCCTAACGTGGATTAACAGCCTTTTTCAATCAAGTGCTTAATTAATCAGTATCACAGTTGTGAAAACTATGTAAGCTTTTACAGGGCTCTGAGAATTCAAATTCCTAGTATCTACTGAGAGTAGTCTTACAAGTTAATTGAGTCCTTGCTCCTTCTGTTAGGCTACAAATACAAGTTACACCATCAGTTAAAATAAAAATCAAAACAGGGAAGTCTGAAATTAGACTAGATGGTAAGAGTAAGTTTAGGCTGTCAGAGTCAGCAGTTCATTTAGCAGGGAAGGAAACATCCTGCCTTTGCAATGCAGAGTTAATGAAGTAACTACTGCAAGCATAGCATAATAATGGATGCACAGTTCATGATAAATGCTAACTTGACCCTCACATTCCTCGTTTTTTTTTTAAGCTGAAGTTAAACACTTTCTTGTTAATATTTTGTAAGACGTAGGGAAAGGAGGCAAAACGAGCATCCAAGATAGACTTTATTTGGGCAACACCCAAATAGAGCCAATGAATATGAAGATGCCAAATGAAGGCACAGGAATTGTACCTCTGCTTCCACACTGCAACACCAGCATTAGCTCCTATTCAAAAGCCAATGCTTTGCTTCCACTGAACAGTTTACACTACTGGTGTGTGTAACAAATTATCAGCTATGCTCAGAGATCTTGGTCAACTTATTTCCACAGTCCTTCAGTCACCTGGCAGCTTGGTAAGGCTGCAGAAAAGCATAGTCTCATATACTGGCAAGGCAAAGAGCAGTTTAAAATGCTCTCATCATATGGCACTTTCCCGGTTCTCAGATTTGAGGGCATTCCTGCACTTTGTCCATTTTTCCAAGTGACCCTAAAATACCTGAGCCAGAATTTCATGGTATTTCAGCATACTTCACAAGTTGTCCGTCTTCTTTTAATGACTCAATCATTTATGCTTTCAACAGTTACACCTTAAACCTTTTCTGTCACAGTCTCACACTGGGAGCTTTTATGATGTCACTTAATTCCTAGACGTCTTTTTCACAGATATTGCTTTCCAGGATACTGTTCATACATATTCCTTATCTTTAGATCAGAGACATTCAAAAGTCCAACAAGACACTTCTGTCTGATAATGTTTTCCATTGTGTCCAAACATCTGGACCTCAATCCCTGGCTGCTGGAGACATCATGCTGTCCCAAAAGGCTAAGTCTTCCACAGGATTGTATTAAAATATATTTTGTCTGAACAACTAACAACCACATAAAGATCCCTTTTTTTTACAGCTATCCACCAGCATTGCTTTTATCTTTAGGTTATCAGCCATGACTTTCTGTTGACCTCCAAATGACTGAACATCAGGCCTAAGACTGTCTGCCAATTTTTGAAATCAGTCACCATTAGCATAAAAAACCAACAAAACAATAAAACACAATAATGTGCTTCCTAGTATAGTAATAACATGCAAGAGCTAATATTAAAAGAATATGAAAGGCCCATTAGAAAGCAGTAGGAAATTTGGAAACATCAGGATTAAGGTCATCCACGTCACCATAATTTGGCTCCGCAATGCAGGTGCATTCTGATACAGCCTTATTGACTGTTTCCACGGAACTGTACTCTTATTATGTTGCACGGACAGATACTTAACAAGCAAGCGTTCAGTTTTGTTATATCACCACTCTGGACAGCCTTAAGACTTGTCAACCACATGCAATTCCAACCTCCTGAAGCAGATCACTCATCTCCTGTACCCACCACAGAAATATCAGTGCTCCATAAGCACTTATCTATCTCCAAAATGTCCCTGTTTTATTTCTTGTAAGGGAAGGGAATAAAAAAACCCACAGTGAAACACAGTAAGAGAGACATACCCACTAATTCCAAGTGGCCAAACTGGTATCTGTGACCTCTTTTTTTCCTTTGAAGGAAAATTCCTATTACATATGTTCCTATCACTGCTCCTATAGATTTTTATGCTATTCCTGAGATGCAACACTTCTGCAAAGCAAAACAGGGTCTTACCTGTAACAGAGAAGTGTTCAATACTTGAGATTATAGTTTTGGGAACACCAAGTGTTAATTATTTCAGGATAACTCTCTATGGTCATTTGTAGCCTGAAACAAATGCAAATCCACTGAAGACTGGACCTAACTCATACTTGCACACACTTCAAGGCAAGATTATCTGTAGGGCTGTAGGATACCACAGCAATCTGAGACAGAAGCAAGTGTAATCAACAGTTCTTCATACTAGCAAATGCCTTCCCCAGATCATCCTCCTCAATTCCACAATCCTATGTCAATGCATTTAATTTTCTTTTAACAGAACACTCAGGTTGAGCAAACATGCAGGACTCTGACAGGCTATCATGCACCAATAACTAATCAAGGATGGTATCAAAGTGCATTGACGCAATAGGGCCAAATTAAGGTGTAATCAGCTAAGAGGTGCAAAATACAGTTTTAAAATTCCCTCTGTCCCAAGCTGAGACTGTGACTGTCCTCATTCCCTTGCACACACTCATCCCATTGACAAGTAACATGCCAAAATTGGAATCTGTGACTGCAGAACTTCTCCTGTCAGTTCCTTCTGTTAGGCACTATAAGGAACTGCCAAGGGAAAGCACGTATGTGCACACACACAGTTATAATAATATCTCAGCAGAAGGGAGAGCACTTACCGTAACACAAGGTTTACCTCATTATACCCTCATGCATGTGGCCAGTCAAATTGTAATTTTCTATGCTCCAAGCACTGCATTCATATACAAAGCAAGGATTACGTGTACAAACTGCATGTGTGTATGTAAATGTGGATGTGCAACAGTTTTCCTTAGAGTTCTGAGATCATAAGCCAATTCCAACCAATCTGGAAAAGGGGTAAGATCTTAAAAGTCAACACAAGTCTCAAAAATACGCAGCTGAGGAAAGAAGAGAGACTCTCTTGGAGTCCTCTGCTGAGGGAAAGGCTAATAAGCTCACCCTTGATTAGACATCAGAGAATCCACACAGGAGAGAGCCGCTGGAAACCAGGCATCATTAGTTCCGCTGCTCACGGAACTACTTGTTAAAAAAAGCAAACAGAAATTCCAACATGTGGCATCATACCGACACCCACGTTGGTCATCAGCAATCTTAAAATGCATTGCACAGACCTCTGCCACTGCAGCTAAGAGGATAAATAACAGCAATAATACTTTGTCACCTTTTTCTAGCCTAAGAGGGAGATGAGGTTCTTTGCCAGAAGAGGTCACATTCTTATGCTGACATCAAAGACATGGCAAAATTTAGAAACACTGGGTTTAATATTTCTAGGCTTTGGAGGGAATGTGGTCAAACTTCCTGCCTGACACTTCAAACTTAATTCCCCCTTTGCCCTTAGCCTTCTAGCCTAGAGCAATCCCTTCTCCTGCACCAAGGCCCAGACCCAAGCTCTTTACCCACATGCCCCAGTCTCTTGATCCTCTACTGCAGGGACTCTTTGCTATTTCATTCCCTCAATTACCTAATACTTATCTCCTCTCCCTCATGCTTCTGTCTGTCTGCCCACATCCCATACTCTCATCCCCCTCTGTTCTGCCAGTTCTAGGTATCTCATTTTCCAGCACCTAGAAGGTCTGGTTCTTTCAAGACCCCTGGTCTTGTCTCTTTATAGCTTATTCCTGTGCTAGCTCTCCCATCTCTCCCTTGCAGAGGCTCCCCATCACCTCCTCTGCTGCATTCCCTAGTTTGTAGCCTATTGTTTTTTCTCTCCTCCTTTCCAATTCCCATCTCTACCAAGTTTCCAGATTTCCTCAACAAACAGCTCCAGTCCCTGCCCATACCTCATTCTCATCCCCACCATGTTTGAACCAAGCTGTGTCTTCTCACGTCTTGCCTTTGTGCCCATCAGAGGGAGAGGTTACTGTCCACATGGGGCACTAAAGACTCCTTCTGAAGCAGAAGGAGGAGCAGCTGTGCCTGAAGGAAAAGCATGCTTGGCCCTTCAGTGCAACTCTAGAAGATGCTTAGAGCTGCAGAAAGAGTAAATATATAGTCTAGCCTCACATAGAAACGGAGAGAAGTTAGGCTGTATTTGTCTCCTCTGTGGAGCTGTACTGTCTGCTGAGTGCCTGGAGTTGTGTAAGCCTCAAGAAACAGCAAAGAGAATATAACACATATTTCAGCCACCAAAATATAAATCATCTCAAAGTATTCTTAACGGAATTTTTCCAAGCTTAAAACTGGCCAAATTCAACAATATTGTCACAGGCATATGCGGCTTACAAAACCCATAGCCACCACACTACAAATTGATTCAAAACTATAGGAAGTTCACCAAACAGTAACACTAAATCCAGTAGAGGGAAGAAAAAACAGGCTTAAAACAAGACATGTCTGAGAAGATGCCCACCTGCTGTATTCAAACCACTGGTTCCCCTTGCATACATGATTTGCTCCCTAATGAGTGTCTCCATCCAGCTTCCTCACCTTCTACAGCTCAGTTTACTAAGGCTTCTGCACACTTTCACACCTTAGACTCATCTCAGAAGTTTCCTATGTCCCTCAGGTACTTATTGTCTCCCAACTTCCCTGCTGTTCCCCAGTTAAAGTAAGGGAAACTCAAAACTAAAAGTGGAGAAGACAAAGCTTGTTGATCACATATGACAGTGTGGCAGGCCCTTCTCAAGCCGACAACCTTTCTGTTGGTATCCGAGGCTCCAGAGCACACCTTGCAAACCCATTCCAGACTATAAACTGGTATTCATCCAGATTTTACTTAATATCAGAGCCTAGCAATGCCTATACAAAGCTCTCTTCCTCTTACAAAGAAATTACTCAGAGAACTGTCATGAGAAAGAGAATTGATGATCTGGCCCAGAGCAGCCAAACCACTTCATCAGTCTTGTCCACTGATCACATCACATCACACTACAGACTTCTAGAAGTGCAGAGGTACAGGCACCACACCAGGACCAAAAAACAATCCTTCTGTATCCAGGACCTGTTTGCTACCTTCTCCTTAGCACCTTTGAAAGCACTGGGAAGAAGCCATGTGCTTCACAGTGCCAGCATCTTTCTAGAAAGACTCTTGATGTTGATCTAGCTTTCCAAAGAAAAAGCTAATTCAACGAAGATGTCAGGGAAGATTAGTAAAGAGCTGACGATGAATCCAGACAAGACTGAAATGACATTACTTGTGAAGGAAAGTGCTTCACAGGACTGGGTTAGATGCTGTCCCCTGCAGGTACAAGCATTCTTCCAGTAGCACAACGCAAAGCACCAAGCACTCTGCCAGACTAATCCTAAGGACAGATGTCAAAGGACAGAGATCTGCAAGTATTGTGAGCAAAAGCCTTACACCTTTTCTTAAAAAAAAAAACAACCCTAGTCATAGAGATTCTTGCACCACTTTCACAGCAGCATGCTAATTCACTTCGAGAGATGATATAGCAGTGAAACAGCTGCCATTTGCTGGAGCAGGCATTTCTACATTTAGTAAAGAATGTGATGAGCTGCAGTATATATCAAGTATGTATCAAGGTGTATGCTCCAACACCTTCCACATCTGCCTGGCTGTGCTGCTCATTCAAGGCCTTACTCTGCCTTTATCACCGCTCGGAGTCAGGAATTCCAAATACTAGCCACTTGCCCAGACACTCATGACAAGAGAGCTCACAGAGCTCAAAAACAAAGCTTAAAAATTAATTAAATTTGACAAAATAATCCTAGGCTTTAGGAACTGGGTATTAAATTTAAAAAATCACACTGATCGATGTAGTACAACTCCTTCCAGGAATCTGAGCACATTATTTTCAGTGTCTCATCATGGGAATCGGTGAAATCATACAAACGTAGTCATATGAATGCCAAAACCAACTCCTCCTCCAGCCTGAGAAAGAAGCAGGAGTAGATGAACCTCACCCACAGTCTTAATTTAGCTAGCATATGTCTGCATACTATAGTGACGGGAACTACTGAAATCATCCTCTAGAATACAGTAGGATCCCAGTATTCTTCAAAGTTTTAACTTGTGAGTCTATTCATATGCATATTATAGAGAAATGATTTTACTATGTTTCACAAAGGTGTTCTCTCCCACAGCTCCAAGAGATGATTGCGTTTTCCTTTATTTTTCCAACAATCATTTTTAGTTCCAAATTTGCACATGGAATGCATCATCCAAAGAGCAGATCTCAAGAAGGGCAGAAGTACTCCTTGGTGATCTTCAAAAAAATCTCAATTTAGCTCTGTCACACCTAAGCACTGCTCAGAGGAAGGTCTGCTTGGGGTGGGGGCTGGTGGAAGAGGTACCACACTCAGACTAAACAGGAAGAAATCTTAGAGATAAGGAAATTATATGTTCCCACATATATACTCATCTGTTTTTACCCTGCAAAGCCTTTTTCATGAGCTGTTACACAGACTATGTGTGTCCATAAAGTTTCTGCTGAGTCATTCTACTGGTCTTGGGAATTTTTTTTCAAACTTACAAGTAAACAAGGAGCTATAATTAAAGCCCTGGTTCAGCTTTAATTCTAGTGTTCACTGCCAATTGTGTCCCCTGTAAATACATATTTAACAACCTAATTAGCAACCCAGACTGTAAGCAGCTTGAGTAGTGTGGAACTGTGGCTAGGGCCCAAAATAAATGGTGGTATTACAAATAGCAAGCTACCTAACACTCCCACCCTTCCTCACCATACGCTGATTATATTTTCAAAGTGGAAGAACTGGGACATTGGCTAAGATAAAAAGGCTGATCCAAGCTCTAGTTTTGTACCCATTTAACTATGTTGATTAAAAAATGTAAACATTAAAAAAATGCTATAGTTAAAAGTGAAAAAATGCCTGAGGTGGGTGCACAGATTCTGTGTTGATGCCTTCATTTCTTATGGCTTAATGCCAGAAAGATAACTAAATCTGTACCGAAACAAAGAGCATCTAGGCTGATGAAGGAAAACTATTTGATATGGGATTCTGGGCACATTACAGGGAAGTGAGAAGACATATTCTATTTCTGTTTCAATATGGCTACTACTTTACCTATTATTTATCTTAATCATCTGTCAGAAACACCTATCACTGAATCACCACAAGTGCTTCTGCTTCCCACCTAGGACAGCCCATCACATTTACTCCTTACCACTTTCTGCTCTATCTGGTTCCCACCTTTTCTGAAACATCCACACTGATTGTCCTCTGGTTCAAGGATTCCCTCCTACCTTATCTCTCCCCTCCCCATCACTCATAAACTCAAGCCACATCCCTCCAAGCTCAAAACCCAGCCTCAGGGCTCAGAACTCTCCTCCCTCTTATCAGACACACTTAGGGTTCAAAAACACCCTCATGTTTAATTCAGAAATAAATTTTTTCCCTTGTTTTGTTTGGAATGCTGAGATAGAAGGAGATCACTTGGGGCAATACACACAGGAGCAGACACTATCACCACAGTTCACTTCCTGCTCTGTGTGTCTCCAGTTTGCAGTCTTTACACTGGACAGACTGGAGTCCTAACTGAGGAGCACCCAGGTACACCAGGGCTCTCAGCTACACCAGAAGTGCTCCAGCTGCACCAGACAGCACTGCACTCTGCAGTACACCAGCCATACTACCTGGCTGTGCCATCAAGGATATAGTTTAGCCTCCATAACATCCTGGTCATTAACTAACCTAGTAACGTTAACAACTATATATTAAGGAAATCAAGACTGTCCACTAAAAGGAAATCCTTAGTTTTGGGTCAACCCATCAGCTTGTAAATATTCCTGACCAGAAAGAAAACTCAACTCTTTCTGCAGCTCAAAGACTGTCTACTCAGGGACTCTCTAGGTACAAGGCAGAGATCTCTCTTTCCTCATGTAACCCTCTGAAGGGTTAAATACACCCCCATCCCCACGCAATATTACAGTCAAGGTTTAACCCCACTCCCCACCTGTATGTCTTGCCATCCTTGTGCTGGTCCTCATCATCCTCGTTTGTCAGCACAAAGGGGTCGCTCATCTCTGGCAGCCCTGACTCCTGCAATCGTTTCTTCTTCCGGCCCCGGGGTGGTTTGGGGGCAACTCCCCCACCCCCGCCACCTTCAGTGAGGGCGGTTGTCCCTTTCTTGGACAGGTCGGGAACCACCTGCAGGGCTGCCTGGGAGCCAGGGGGTAGCGCAGAGACAATCATGGGAGCTGAGATGGGAAAGGTTTGGGCAGAGGCGGCTGTGGTCACCAGAGAACCTGATGGGGAAGTTATCACCAGACCAGGACCTGCAAACAAAGGAAGGTGGAGGAAGTCAGTTATTATATCTCCAATTATGCCCAACCTCCTTATCCCACAGAAGCACCTACTTTTGACTATAACACAAACAGAAGGGTAGCTTCCCCTCCCAAAGCATTCCCAGACTCCACTGCTCGAAGTCAAACTTCCATAAAGAGGGTGGATGTATGGAGTACCTAGAGATTCACAGTGCAACCACACCAAGGCACGAGGTCCACACCATCAGTAAGACTAGGAGTAATCTACAGGCCAATAAGGATTCTTCAGGACCTCGTGTTTCCCCATCCCAGAGTCCCCTTCGTATGCTGCCGAAGCCTTTGGAGTGCCCTACCTGCTGTCATGAGCCCAGCAGACTGCACTGGTACCACGGTGATGTTCTGAGTCACAGGGGCTTGGCTGTGTGGTGTCAGCTGCTCTGGCTTGGTGTCCGAGTCCATGGAGATACCAGTGGGCAGGGCCACAGAGGTGGGGACTGTCAGCAAGGCAGGGTAGTGGGGGGGAGCCAGACTGCAGCCCTTCTCTGTGGGCAACAGCTGCTCCTTCATCTTGTTAATGAACATGGTGTTCTCAATCTAAAGGGGGGGAAGGACAGGTTTTAGAATATCCTGGCACAGCCTTGCCCAGCATTTGGCCAAGCAAGAAATGCAGGAGAAACACTCATTGTGCATAAACTTCTAACAGGAGGCAAGACCAACATAACAAGTTGGAAGATCTTACCTGTCCCGAGACGGTGGGCACTGCTGGCCAGAAGTACGGGGAGGAGTTGAAATGAGATTCTTCCATCCTAGCTGGGCACAGGGGGCAGGAAGAAGGGGGAAGGGAAAAGGAATGGAGGATAAGGAAGACAGACAGACAGACACAAAAAACCCATTAAACCCAAAGAGACTCCAACATGGAACTGACTCAGTCTAATGCTGTGACAGTTCCTTAACCACCCCTGTTTTTCTTGAGCAACTTCTCCCCCCCTTTTGAGCTATCTGCCCAAACAAAAAAAATATTTTCAAGAGAAAAAGGTGCCTGTTATTCCCATGGGCATGGGTCCATCTGAAATGCCCCTTGCCCAGTAGTCGTCCATGCAAAAAACAGGACTGACTAGAAACCCAGAACACATCCACATTTTCCCAATTATCATCCACCCAAGTACATGGCATAAATGAAGTCTGTGCATCTGCAACCAGGCAAATACAGATGAAAAGAGTTTTTCACCATCACAGACAGTCTGACCCCACAGACAATGAAAATTTTGGACATTGCCTGTCCCTCCATCCCAGCTCAACACTAAGGACCCAGATGGAGCAAAGGGACATTAGCATTATGTTACACAGGAAGAAAGACAGGCAGAGAGAGGGAAACAGACTTGCCCAAGATAACAGACAGCCAACAGCAGACCAAGAAGTCAAACTCAGGGCTCCTAACTTCCTGCTGGTCACTCCGGCCCCACTCTTGAAAGAAACTCACTCAATATTCCTGCTCTCCTCCAACGAGACTAAGCAGTAGGAAAATAACCTGATTCCCCCGCTCCTGAGAAACCCTATTTCCAAGTGAGATCATGTCACAGCTTTCCACTGCCCATTTCCTTCCCATCTTTGGGACAAGACTCTGTAGGACTCTGTCCCCAGCCAAGTGCCCACTGCTCCATCTCAACTCTCCCTGCATTCAGAGGACCAGTCAGACACCAAGAGAGTCTCCTGAACATAGAGGTATGATCTCTTTGGGAACACTTGACTGAAGAAGCACTTTTCTTTCTAATCCTTACATTCCTCTGTGAAATACCATTAATGGACAAGGATTGTTACACTTGCAAAAACACTATTCAAAACTTAAAGAAATTAACAAAACAGTATTTTCTGAAGCAGAAGATACATCTATTCCTAACAAATATGGCAAAAGTAGTAGGTAAAAACTATGCTCAGAATACATCTGGCAGAGAGTGCAACCACTGTAGGTTTTTCATGCAGCTAGCTGCAAAATGTCCCCTCCTATTTCTGTTATGGTCTGTCAGTGGTCAAATAATTAAACAATATTTTGTTTCTGTAAGGTCTGTCTCAATCATCAGGGGAGCTCAGAGGCATGCCCCCAGTAGCATGAAACACTTACATTACAGAAGTATATCAGGACAGAATAAATACATGTGGAATTGCTGTGTGTGAGCCAAAATGCAAGGATAATTTTCCTCTACGTGGAGAAGCAGTATTTAAATGAACAAAATTACCCAATAATTTTGCTTTTATTAATTGCTCATGCAACAGCAAGGCCAAGTACTCCTGCCTCACTCACTCACTGCAAATCAACCAATAAACACACTTAAGGATAAATTATTTACCTTATGTTCGTGGCATGCAGTCAGACTGCTCACTGCCTGACTGAATTACTCTGGATTTACATTGCTGTGATTCAATCAGAGGCTGATGGGGCAAGACTCTTACCTTCCTTCCTCTGCTTTCTTTTCTGAGCCAAATTAATTATTAAGTACACTGCCCACAGCATAGCCCTATGCATGCAACACCTAATTACATGACTTTTTTCTTCCACAGGATGGACACACATGAGGAGATAGCATATCCTTGGCAATTGAGCACCACCTGAATCAAGAGGGTTATTTTGTTTGGAATTTCCAAGTTTGAGGGTTTTTGCTTGGTTTTGGTTTTGTTTTTAAAATAAATAGCCTATTATTTGCTTAGCTTCCACATCAAAAACACCAAAGTAAACCTGACTCTCCAAAAACACAAAGTCTCATGTAATAATCAGATGCATTTTCCAAAGAAACTTTGCAGTTGTCCAAGACTCCCTTGGCTGCAACTGCAAACTTCAGGAGTTAAAACAGAAGAATGTCAATTTAACCAAAAAACCTCACAACAGCTTTCTTATTAAAAAAGTAATGAAAGGCAAGTCCATTTCCAGATTCCAAAATCCAGACCAGCAGAGGCCAGGGCACTCAGTGGCCGCTTGTCTCCATCTTGTCTTCTACCAGAACTTCACAGAGAATCTAACTTTCGTTTGCTCAGTTTACCAAGAGTACAAGTCAAATATGGTTCTTACTGATTCTTCAAAGGATGGCTACGCTGATTTCATTAGACTCACTTAGAATCCACCTCCCCATCCAAAAATCTTCACTCTTGAGCATATTATCTATCAGGCCTCAAACTTCTGGCTTGAAAGGCTGAAGTATGATGGAGTTATAAGAATGTGGAGGAAAAGGAGAAATGGTGTAAAAGTTTAAGCTTTCATGCAATTTCACTAGCAAGCCAGTCTTCCAAAGGCAGAAAACAAAGGTAAGATTCCTCCACCAACCTACTGTCCTAGTACCCAGAGCTGTCCCTCCCTTACCCCATTTTTAGGCTAAAAGGGTATTTTGAAAACATGCACCCCTATTGGCAGCCCCCACTTAGACGCTGCTCACACTTACGTTACCAGAACTCTGCACGTAACCCTTCCAATTGCTCTATAACTACCAGACATGGGCTGGAGCTTCAACCCTGTACCACAGCACGTTCCCACTGCAGGGCCTTCATCATCCCAGCTTCCACAAACAGGCCAGAGATGGGACCTTCTTCCTATTCACCAGTCTAGTATCAGACAGATGTCAACGTACCCTCCTGATATAAACCAAAAACACTTTCTATGTACAGACCACAAATGTACATACACCAAAAAAACAACCAAGTGAACCAAAGAACTCACAAGGGACAAGGGATCTGGAGTTTAGATCTCAGAGAGTACTTCACAGATTTACATACTTAACGTGCTGGATTTATACTTCTTGGCAGGTCATCACTTTAATCATAAACAGACATATAAAAGCACGTGCAAGTATACGGTGAGGTAGAGGCTGTGTTTCTGGAAGGCACAATCAAGGTTGACTTTTAACACGGGTTCTTAATTCTCCAGATACCTGGCTTTTATTTCCTATTCGGCACAGAGTTTTCAGTCAACAAAAGGCCCTGAGTGTAATGCTTGGGAACAATTTAGACTGTTGTTTTATGTCTGCCCAAGATCTTTGTTCAATGACAAGGAGCTTTTAGGCTTAATTGCTGCGAAATACTAGGGCTGCTAAAAGCCACACAGGCTATTGGGATCAAAAGCAAAAATGCTTCCACGGAAATCATAAGCACCAAGAAGTTCAAACGCTGCTACACCTTTAGAACAAGCGCATTTGAACACACATCAGGAATATCCCAAATGTACCTGACAAAGTCCTGGATCCCAAACCGGCACACTAGAGACAGAACTTTGGTGCCGTTCCTCGATACTTGTATAGCCTCCACCCCGACCGGGCGAGCCTCTGTCGGAACAGGTGCCTGGCAGAGAGCATACTCTGCGCCTCAGCTCCTTCCAGGCAGTCAATGCCTTCTCCCGCACCCTGGCGCTCAAATGCCTTCACGCCCCCAACGCCGGGACCCGCGGCCCATCCCATCTCCTCCCACCCCGCGGCAGCCCCCGGGGCAGGGGCGGGGGTCACTCACGCAGCTCTGGGAGCTCCTTACCCCTCTCACTCTCCCTCCTCTTGCATTTCTCCTCCTTCCAGGGCCGGCTCTGCAAATAAACCGCCTCGGTTACCGGGGCGCCCGGGGCCCCGCATGGCAGCGGGCGACGATCCGCGGGGCCCGCGGACCGGGGCACCCCGGCCATATCCGGGGCAGGCGCTCCCCGTAGGGCCCAGACCCACCTCCCCCCGCGGCGGACGAGGGCGGGGCCGGCCCAGAGCGCGGCTCCCCCGTGGCGGAGCACCCGACACCGGGACAGACGGGTGGACGGACAGACAGACAGCCCGCCCTCCTCCATTTCCGCTTCCGGATCGCCCCGGCCCCGGAAGTCCCGCTGCCCGGCCCCCCGCCTGCGGTCCCGCCGCCCCGCACGTTACCGGGCTCCCCCCCAGCGGCGGCCCCGGCCCGGCTCCGGCGGCGGCGGCCTCCTCACCGGAAAGACAGCAGGGAGGAGCTTCCGGGTCAGGGGGCGGGGCGCGCCTCGGCGCTTCCGGGTCGCCGAGAGGAACGGAACGGCGTCATCAGCGGTTTCGCTTGAAAACGGGGCGGCGGAGCGGCCGCCGGGGGAAGGCTCCCCGGGGTGGGGGCACCGGCGAGGCGGCCGCAGCCGGAGGTCGGGGCGGGGGTCGGGCGCGCGCGCGCGCTTACCGGAAGCGGGGAGGGCGCCGGCGCGCGGGGAAGCCCGGGCTGGCGGAAGGGCGGAAGTGGCTGTGGCGGGCGGGCGCGCGGTGGCCCCGAGCCCGGCCGGCAGGGCCGCTTCCGGCCTCGCGGCATCACGTGATACAAGCGGGCGGGGGGGGGGGGGGGGGGGGGGGGGGGGGGGGGGGGGGGGGGGGGGGGGGGGGGGGGAAAGGCGGGCACCCTCATGAATATTCATTACCCTCCGTGAATTACTAATTCGGCCGCCGCCGCCTTGGGTCGGTGCGGGATGTGGTTGGTACAGAGGTCTCGAACACTGTGCTTGCCAGCGCCTGGGACCGTCCCGGCCCGCCGCGATGATCCAGAGGAGTTGTCCCAAAGTTTGGCTGCCAGCGTCGGCGATGGTCCCAGCCCGCGCTGGCTCCAGTGTTTCCTGGCACGCTGTTAACGTGTATGTCCTGCTAAGCCAACAGAAAGGGCTTCCCGCGAACTGTTTTTGTGCCAGAATGGGCAAGCTGGACCATCTCATTCCCTGTCGGGAACAGGAGAGCAAGGCCGGGCGTGGAGGAGAACAGGGCAACCCTTTTCCCGCAGCCGGAGGCTCCGTGTAACCTCACCCAAACACCAATTATTTCTATATTTGTAACCGTGCACAACTTGACCCCAGAGGGGGCTGCAACTCGCCCTCGCTCTCAGTCACTGGGAATTGAGGAATTCAGTTTCACAGATTGAGCCCACCCAAGTTTCGTCTGGCAGTTTCCCGCTGCCTCCCGTGCGCTGGCGCTGCCAGGCGCGTTGCCGTGCAGGGAAGGGAGGAGCAGCGGGCACTCACTGCCCTGAGCCCCGGGCACAGCGAGGCTGCTCCTGCAGGAGATAGCGCGGAGCTGCTCCATGACATGGCTAAGCCGGGCTGGCTGGTCAGCCCCACACCGAACTGCAGACACCCCACAGAATCACCAAGCCGCGCTGGGCTGTTGCTGGTCTGCCCTGTCTTACACACTTTAGGATAAGATGCATTTCGTTCTGCTACCTCCTAGCAGGGTTAACTTTGGCGCTGGGCCCACCTCCTAGGTCAGGTTAGGTTACCTTCCTCACCTGTGGTGTTGCGCGCCGGCCGTTTGGCTGAGCTGTTTTAGTGCTTTGACTTGAGAGAAACCTCTTTTTTTTTTTTTTAAGTTGTTGCGTGAGTTTTCTGCCAGCTTGGCATGCTGGAACAGCTTTTCCTAGCCAGCATGAGTAAGAGGGTGGGACCAGGGAGAACACAAGCACAGCAGCCAGCGGTTAGATTGGCTCGGGCGATCGTCAAACCGCAACATCCGGAGCATTGGGTAGAGGGAAATCTCCCGGCGGCTCCGGCCACAGCGCCTGCCTGTCCCCAGGACGTGCTGGGGTATTGGTCATCGCAGGCGGCACCAGATTTCCTCCTGGGAGGAGTCACGATTAGCTCTGCGTTCCTCAGCAGGAGTCACATGAAGGCAATTGTTGATTTATTTAAATAAAAGGAGTTGGCAGCCTAATCAGTTTGGAAATTAATTTCCTTGTTAATTTGGGGGTTTTGACTTGCTCATGAATATTCACAAATGCTCATCTTGTTGTGTTTTTTTTTCTCTCTCTCCTCTATGTAATTTATTTTTGTGATTGTCAGATCACCTCTGAAGGTGACATTTCTCTCCGTGTTCTGCAACGCAGCAAATGTATTCAACTTATGCCTTGGAAGAGGAGCTCCAGCCTGGCACTGACATCTCTTTTACTTTTCTCTTCTTTGCCAGAGAGTCCTTTATAGCCTCCTTCCTCCCTGCATGCTGCCTAGGAAGAAACAGGACTGAGTCTCCTCGAAGAGGGCTGGCCTGGACTTGATAACTGGGAGTGTTTGTCACAATGCACTATACCTGGCAAGGGAAATTGTCACTTGAGGATTGGGACAAAGTGGTTAATTTTTCTTAGGGTGCGTGTAGTTTTCTGCTCCCCCTCCCACCCCACACTGCCGAGCATCTTTCAGCAGCACGTGAGGCAGCGTGACTAACATCTGCCACAGACACTTGATTTGTCTTATCTCCTTTCCTTTGTAGGAGGCAAAGTCAGAGGAACACGGGTGTGTGTCTCTGGAGAGTACAGCTGATCTCTTTACCTTCTTTCCCAGCTCCTTGTTGCCTCCCTTTAGTTATCCTGGCAGCCCTTGCTCCTTTCCACACCAGGGAAGAGCATCCTGCTTGCCACTGCGGGTTTCTCCCTGGTGAGACATGCTCGAGTCCCACGTATGTGTGTTTAGGGCTTCTAGGATTTCATAACACTGACCGGCTGGGCTCAGCTAAGGAGCACGGTGAATAAAATCCTGTGTAAAACCGCTGGTGCTGGGGGCAGGAGGAGCAGTGTGAGGTGAAGAGGTGTCCTCCTTACGCCGTGGTCATGCACGGAGGCAGGCTTGGCTGAGAGCTGGCCCCACAGCAAGTAACGTGATGTGTGTAGTGGAAACCCCCAGGCCCAGCCTGGTCTCCAGACCAGCTCATTTCTTTAGAAAGGCCAGCGTTGGTACAGCCTCCATCTATCCAGCTTGCGCGGAGCTGTGTGAGGAGGGGTGGCCAGCGTGCACCAGCCATGGGGATCACCCAGCGGCACTGCCAGCCCAGGCTGAAAGCTGGGCAGGGGGTGACAGAGAAGTTCACAACTCTGCAGCAAGGAAATAAGCCAGCAGCAATGCAAAGTGACTGCAGGAGGTAATGGAGCCCTGGTAGGTGGAGGTTAGTGGAGCTTCCCTCCTGGGAACAGAATCATGTGAATAACACAGCCGGGTTCCCACCTCCTGCTGAGGGCACCAGCTCCTGACAAGCTCAGAAAAGAAAATGTGTGGAGAAAGCCAGCCGGTTACCACGACAGTTGCTCTCTCACAACTTTTGTAACAACTTCTGCTGTGCAGCTTTGGCCTGGGAGGGTGGCAAACACACACCTCCTTGCTGGCTGCCTGTTCCACCTCCCATCCTTATTGCCTCCTCCACAATCACATCTGACTGTCACGTTCCCACCTCAGCGCTTTCCTTCTTTATCTACTCTCCTGATTTCTCCATTTCTCTCTTTCTTCACCACCCCAACATAAAGCACCCACCCCTGGACCTTCAGTTATGATTACAGACCATCCTTCCACGGTGTCACTGTGCTTGAACACATTTTGTTTGCTGTCTGTGTGTAAACTGCACTGCTCACGGTGGCTGTTCTGGTAATATAGGTGGTATTTTATGTCACAGGATCCTACTTGGCTGGCTTCTAGGGCTGGTAAACCTGGCCTGATATGTTTGTTAAGCTGGCTCAAGTGGTACCTGAATTTGATGGGGGTACTGACCAGTAGGTAGAGATGGACAGATACACTTGGATGGTGTGATGATGTAGTGATACACATTTTAAGGATGGTGGCTGTTCATTCTCACCGAAATTGTTAGCTGTTTGTAGGACAATATTTGGTTTATCCCGCAGCTGGTATTTTAATCCTGAGAGTACATTTCTCAGCAAGGTGTGTTGTCCTCACTCTTTTCAGGGAACTGACATCTCTTTGGCAATCAGCTGATTAAATCCCCTGGCAGCACACAGCAGAGAGCATTTCAGCACATCATTCTTGGTCGGGTTTTTTGATTGTTGGTTTTTTTTTTTTTCTTCTTTTTTTTCTGTTGCATGGAAATAGATTGCATTTTCCCCTGCTTGGTAACTTTTCTGCTTAGTGTTGTTTAAGCTTTTAGAAATA